GCAGGGAGCCTGGCTGGGGAACCAACCAGTGGGGCAGCAGGGCTTGCCAGGGGAGATTAGGAGAGAATCAGCTGGCAGGGACAGCAGGGCTGGCTCAGGGTGGGGGAAAGGGGGAGCGGAGAGAATCGGCCAGCGGGGAGCGGGACAGTTCAGGGTGCACGCAGATCCTGAATAAAAATTTAAAAGCAGTGCCTTTTAAATATCCCCACTGCTGACAGTGAGGTTTAAAGGCACTACAATGTGTCAGAATGCAGAGATAGGAGAGAATCAGCTGGCAGGGACAGCAGGGCTGGCTCAGGGTGGGGGAAAGGGGGAGCGGAGAGAATCGGCCAGCGGGGAGCGGGACAGTTCAGGGTGCACGCAGATCCTGAATAAAAATTTAAAAGCAGTGCCTTTTAAATATCCCCACTGCTGACAGTGAGGTTTAAAGGCACTACAATGTGTCAGAATGCAGAGAATCTGGTGAGTTCACCATCCGGAATGAGAATGGATAAAAAATTCCAAAGATGGTGTCAGCTTGCTGAAAATAAATGAGCTCCTTTTCAATACACGGTGTGGTGGTGCAGGGTTTTATTGGATTACAGTCCATTTTTCCAATCCATATTCCCTTAACTTGCTGGTCAGAATGTTGTGAGTGGCTGTATCAAAAGCTTTGCTAAAGCTGGCCCTAGGGGCTTTGGGAGGACCAAAAACAATGTATTTGCATATTTATCATTTGCTTAATGAATATGCAAATATTCAAATGAATGTTACTGGTCCTCCAAAAGCTCGTGAATGGATTTACTGGTCCCTGTGTCAAAAAGTTTGGGAACCCCTGATCTAGATAGAGCTTCGTTCTGCCGTGAGGACAGGAGACTGGACTCTTGAGCTCCCTTCACGTTTTAGTATTCTACGATTGGATGATTCTATGATATGATGTTATTTAAGACTATTGTGGTGGGTTTCCCAGTCATTAATGTAAATTATGATATTACCTCTAAATTGTTTACACAACTTTTTCATTTTAACCATGCAGCTTTGAAAACTTTTTCTATACAGCAATAATCTTTAAATAAATTGGCTATTTTTATTCCTAAGAGCTAGTAGTAGTCATAATAGCAAATTTCAGAATAGGACCCTACACCGTAACCATTGCTCATGTGCCTCTTGATGGCTTTGTAAAGTATTTTATGAATTAATTCTGTTCATTGGGTAGTGCTGCCACTGCTTACTTGATGCACAACAAACACAAAAAGTAAAACCAAATACAACTTGGTAATTTTAAGTTCCAGTTATGTATGGGAGGTAGCTACTCCCTAGGTCAAATACTGGAGTTCTTCTTAGTGGAAGTGTCACCTTTATTTAATAGCAGTTTTGATTTGGTGCTGTACCTTTTTATTTTTATTTAATGGCTTCAAGGCTTTATGGCCAAATTTTATGTGTGTCAGTTTTTAAATGTCCAATGTAATGAACGTTTGGGCTGATTTTTAGAAGTGCAGAACAGTTGAGTTTGTGGATGTTTAGCATGTCTGAAAATCAGGCCCAAATTATCTAAGTCAGGCTCCTGAAACTGCGGAACCTGCATTGGTGGCAACTTTTGAAAAGTTCAGCCTATGGTGCATTTTTGCTGCCATTTTAAGCAATACTGAAGAAATTTGCTAATGAAACAGTAATTTTTGCCTTTTTGCTTTTCATTACATCATAAATTTCCTTTTGAATAGATGTAGGAATGTTAGGATTTTTCTCTTACTCTGGAGATAGTGTTATATCGTTTTTTACATTTAGCCAAATACAGAATGCAAATTGCAAACTTCTTTTATCTTCTCTTACAGTGTTTGGAAGAGCAATACAGGCCATTGCACGAATTAGTGATGAGTTTTGGTTTGACCCAAATGAAAAAGGTGTAAGTGCATTTAGGGGGTTTTAATCATTTAAATGACTTTTTAGAGGGGAATTCAGTCTCAACTTTTAATTAGGTGTATTTTTTTAAAAATTTATACACTTGCCTTATAGCATAATTAAAGTTCTCTATCTTACCATCTCTCATTTTTGCCGTGGGCACCCTCCATATTTTGGGTATCATCTCAGCTATGCAAATTATATGGAAACTCTGTTCCTGTTTTGTTTTGTTTTTTGGTAAGTTTTCCTGCTATTTCATAGTTGCCAACTGGAATTTGTCCATGACAGTAGGATCAGTGCCATAGATTTTTAATAACAACAAGTTTTAAATCTACTAGAAGTGACCTCTTAAGACCGTATTTCAGCATTGCTTCATTTCTCATTGAAAGAAAAGGATGCCAACCTACTGAATTGTCAATTCTACTTTGTACATAATTTGTCATTTCCATAGTGGTCCGATCCAGACATGTATTGACCAGGTCCAATTGTAGTTAACTGGGCAGAAATCATAACTTAAGTTGGTATGATTGCAGGCCATTAGGTAAACAAAAGAAGCTATTATATTTGTAAAGTAAACCACCATTCTCGTATGGACATAAATAGATCCATACATATCCACTTGGACCAGGGACAGGAATTACAGATTGGACCTCCCTGGTCTGGCACCCTTGGGACCTGACTAGTCTTAAATGTATAATTTTGCCAGAGCACAGGAGGTCATATCTGGCCCTTTGCTATTGGCCCCCCTAGCCCTGGACCAGCCCCTGGCCTCCCAATCAGCTTCCTGTCTCTGCTGCCAGCCCCGCTGCCCTACCAGTCCCCACTGCTTCCCTGCTAAGCTGGTCAGCCCAGCTCTAGCCCAGTTCCCAGTGTGCCAAGCTCCCACCTGCCAGGCAGCCCTGCTGCTATGTACTGGGCTCCTAGCCCTGCCACAGCATGTTAGGCTCTCAGCCCTGCCAAGCAGCCCCACTGCAGTGTGCTGTGTTCCTGGTCCCCCTAGGACCTCCTGACCCCATTAGTAGCCCTGAGCTACTGTCCTCTCCCCCCCTTGCCCGCAGGCAACCCAGCTGGGTCATGCTTGGCAGCCCAGCTACAGCATGCTGGGCATCCCAACTGTGGCTAGGACACTCTGGTACTGGAACATACGTGGTCCTTGATGTTGCCAGACCAGATAATTCCAGTTTACAGAGTTTCAACATGTATTAGGTATTGCTACCACAGGCTCTGATCCAGCAATGACATTACCGTATATACTCGAGTATAAGTCGACCCGAATATAAGCCGAGGCACCTAATTTTACCCCAAAGAACTGGGAAAAACTATTGACTCGAATATAAGCCTAGGGTAGGAAATGAGGCAGCTACTGGTAAATGTAAAAAATGAAGATAGATACCAATAAAATTACATGAATATTTATTTCAAAGAAAAACAATAACCTAGCTCTGTAAGTGGAAAAGGGGGTCAACAAAAACAATATGGTATCAAAAATACCGTAACTTTAAAAGTACAACAACCTTAGCTCAATCAGCAACCAAGCT